AATGCACATTAGTGAAGGAGAAAAATTACATGTTTGCAAAATTTTAGAATAGAAACAAATAAAAACTTTTTTTTTATTTTTTGCTCTTTTTTTGTTTATCTCGCAAAAACATAAAACAGCCAGCGGTGATTAAATACCACTGAAAGAAAGTTCTATTTGTGAGAAAAAAAATTATAAAAATGTCATATGGGTACAGTGTTGCATGACCGCGCAATTGTCATTCAAAGTGTGACAGCACTGAAATCTGAAAATTGGCCTGGATTGGAAGGGGGTATAATTGCTCGGTAGACAAGTGGTTAATTGCCTCTAGATCAGGGGTATCAAACTGGCAGCCCTTCAGCTGTTGAGAAATTACAAGTCCCATCATGCATCTGTCTTTGAGAGTCATGCTTGTAACTGTCAATCTTGCAATGCCTCATGGGACTTGTAGTTTGTCAAAAGCTGGAGGGCCACCTGACACCCATGCTCTAGATGTTAACCTCTTCCAAGCCAGTGTCTTTAGTACGGTGACAGTGTATAGTACCAGCACTGATCACTGTATTAGGGTCACTGGAGATGTCAGTGTCAGTTAGTCAGTTGCCGCCCAGTGCCAATTAGTATCAAATTGTCCTCCGCACTATCACATTCCCACTATAAGTCGCTGATCACCACCATTACTAGTACAAATAAATAAACAATTAAATAAAAATTCCAGTATATACACCATCGTTTGTCCCACAAACCAATTAATGTACACTTATTGGGATTTTTTTTTACAAAAGACATATAGACAAATACATTTTGGCTTAAATTTATGAAGAAATTAGATTTTCTGATTTTTTTATTTTTATCAGATATGTTTTATAACAGAAAACAGAAAATAATAATATTTTTTCTAAATTGTTGGTGTTTTTTTTCATTTATATAATAAACAATAAAAAACCCAGTGGTGATCAACTACCACCAAAAGAAAGCTCTATTTGTGTGAAAAAAAAAATGATAACTGTAATCTGGGTACAGTGTTGCATGACTGCGCAAATGCCAGTTAAAATAGCACAGTGCAAACATGAACCTATGAAGGGGGTAAAATCCTCTGGAGCTTAGGTGGTTAAATCAAACTTTTACAAATATCAATATGGCAATGCAAAACTTTCTTATTTATTATTACAAAAAAAAAATATTAGGGAATGGAGTCGTTATGAAGGGCAGCAATTGATTGGATAATAAGAACATGTTAGACATGGTGTAATCATTCTTTATACTTGCATTGTGCTGTTTCTTTTCCATTAGAAATCCCTTAAGGTGAGAAACCTCTAAGCATCAGCTTTAATCACAAAGCTGTCCGTACATTGATCTTTTGTAAGATTTACAGATGGACATCTCAAGATAAAGCTAATGGGAGCTTTGCAGATGTCAGACTCCTCTCTGTGTACTACAGATACTTTACTATAGGCATATATTACATTTCGTGACAGGCCACGCAGATGAAGGGAAAAAAAAAAAGCAAAAAAAACAATAAAACATAAAACGTTGCATCAGGAACTCAAAGGAAGTACTGTATGATCTCTTCTGCAAGAAGGTCACGTCAGCTCCTCAAACAGCTCAAATATTTCCACAAAGTTTACTAATGATTCAAGTACTTTTTTTTCCTAAAGTGCTATAGACATGGCTGAAGAGTAATGTAATATCTAATATTCTGCTGCTGAAGACAGAAACAATTGAGTACTGACGTGATACTTTTTTTATTTGCACTAACATACAATTTTGAGGAAAAGCTTTCGGGGAGTGTCCCCTTCTTCAAGATCCAAGCAGTACAGAATGTTAGAAGAGATGTGGGGGATGAAAAAAAAAAGAATAGAGATAAGACATAGCAAAAGCAAAGAATGGGGGGGTAACAACACCTGGGAGTCATAAAACTGTTGGATAATGATTGAGGAATCCCATGTCCAAATTAAGGCGTTATCTCTTGTGTCAAATAGAATTATCATTCTTAGTTCAAAAGTTTTTCTTTCCTGAATGGATTTGAAATTTCCTTTAAGAACTAAAACAATTGCGTACTGTCCATGATACTTTTTTTATTTGTACTAACATACAATTTTGAGGACAAGCTTTTGGGGAATGTCCCCTTCTTCAAGGTCTAAGCAGTACTCAAGTGAGTACTGCTTAGACCTTGAAGAAGGGGACATTCCCCGAAAGCTTGTCCTCAAAATTGTATGTTAGTACAAATAAAAAAAGTATCATGGACAGTACTCAATTGCTTCTGTCGCAAATGCACTAATACAGCTACAATCAACTTTAAGAACTAAAATATTGAGGTCTCCCATAGTGTGGTCTGGTGGTGCGAAATGGTTCAGGTGGTGCAAAAATGGTACAGCTGCTCCTGGTTCATTCAATTAACCGCTTTCCCACCGCCCTATAGCAGAAGTACTGCTACAGGGCATCAGGGCTGTGCAACATCATGTATATATACATGATTTTGCATTTCCAGGTAGGGAAATACCTGCGCCACCATTGGCGGTCTCAGCTGTCAATCACTGGGTCCCGGCTGGTGATTCCAAACCGGGACACTGACAGGAGAGAGACCGGTATGTAAACAATACAGATCTCTCCCCTGTCAGCTCCCGCACACTGCTTTGTATGGCTCTGCATAGCAGAGCCATACAAAGCAATGTGCTGGCACAAGTAATGTGCTGACACACAGCACACAGTAAAACAGCACACAGTTGCCCCTTTGATTGTCCCAGATGTTAGCCCCTTCCTGCCCAGTGCCATTAGTACAGTGTCAGTGCTTTTTATTAGCACTGATCACTGTATTGGTGTCACTGGGGATGTCAGTGACAGTCAATTCCCCCCAGAATGCTGGCCGCAGTCCCACTATAAGTCGCTGATCGCCGCCATTACTAGTATATATATATATATATATATATTATATATATATATATATAAATTTCAGTATCTATACCATTATTTGTAGATGCTATCATTTTCATGTAAACCAATTAATTTACATGTATTGGGATTTTATTTTAGCAAAGACATGTCGAAGAATACATTTTGGTCTAAATTTATGACGAAATTAGATTTTTAAATTTTTTTTTGCATGACATGTTTAATAGCAAAAAGTCAAAAATAATGTTTTTTTTCTCAAAATTGTTGGTCTTTTTTTTATAGCGCAAAAAATAACAAATACACAGGCGATCAAATACCACCGAAAGAAAGCTCTATTTGTGGGAAAAAAGGACGTAAATTTCATTTGGGTGCAGTGTTGCATCACCGGGCAATTGTCAGTTAAAGTAATATCGCAAAACATGGCCTGGTCAGGAAGGTAGGTAAATCCTTAGGAGGGCAAGTGGTTAAGGGGGCATCAAATATATGTGCTCTGTTTTGTCTGTCCTTGAATTATTCTACTCTGCTTCTTGTAGCACTGCCAGTATTATCAGCATCATTATTATTACTATCAAAGCTGTAGCAAAGAATTGCTAATTAGAATAAAAATGCAACAATGATACTTTATGCAAGTCCATCCTCATACTGGATGTTTCGTATCTTGGTGAAGCTCAGAAAATAAAAAAAGATAAAACTGAAGACTGCTCATTTTTACAATACAAAAACATACTAAAGAAACACTCACATTGACACCCCTCGGATTTTCATCCAGCCCTTTGAGAGTCTTTGGTTAATCCACAATCTTCCTAGTAATCTGCTAAAATCGCTCTCAAACAACACACATTGCCCATAGGACTTTAGAAGAGCCCATCAAATAAAGATACATCAATACATCCTTAAAGGAATTCAAATTTTATTCACATACATGATTAATATCATATTAAATACATGTAGAATGTATAAAAAAATTATAGATAATTGTATAATAACATATCCATGATCAGTTGATATCCTACAATTCAACTTGTTTACAAAGTTAACATCTTCAGGAAATAGTGCTACTAGATGGAATATCTGCAGAGAATTTTCTTTTCTTCTGTGAATATTTTCTCCCGTATGCACCATTATTACAATATAGCTCTTCTAAAGTCCTATTGGGCAATGCATGTTTTTAAGATTTCTCATATATATATAGGGACCAGAGGTGGACTGATCATTTGGAAACTTGGGCACTGCCCGGGGTCAGTAGGGAGCCCCATGAGATGCCCCTGGCATCTTTTTCATAGGCTTTTTTGAGTTTGGGCAAGGACACAGGGGCCCCATGATCCCCTATTGCCTGGGGGCCCCATGAGTTGTCAGTCCACCCCTGATAGGGACTGAGCTTCACCTATATCCATGGTGACATTGGCCTTTTGTACTGTATGTCCTGCTAAGATCGATTAAATTCTCCAGCAGATTGTGGAAAAGCTGTTTGATGTAGGTCATCATTCGACTATAGTCTGCCCTTTTGATCTTTCAGCGATGGACAACTCAGCAAACATTGTCATCTTTTACTCTGCAGATGCAAATGCAACCCCCCTAAAAGCCATTGCAGGGTGATCTGACTAAAATCTTGTCAAATGTTGCAAAAGTCCAACAGGGCACCAAGCATGACTGCATCGAACAACACCACCCCCTTTGACACTAGGCTAGTGATGTAGCTGGCGCCGAGTTGTGGATGGCTTTGTAAGTTGTTGTTTGTATTTTTAGTTGAAGTTGTTGGGTGAGTGGAAGCCAGTGGAGGAGTTGGTTGGTAAGGTGGATGAGTCTGGCAGCAGCAGCATTCATGATGGGCTGAAGAGGGGATCGCCTATGTAAAGGAAATCCAAAGAAGAGGGAGTTGCAGTAGTCAGGGTGAGGGATGACCAGTGAGGGATGACCAGGGAGGGAATTAGAAGCTTTGCAATGTCATTGATTAGGAAGGGGCATATTTTGGAGATGTTGCAGAGGTTAAGATGGCAAGTAGAGATGAGCGAAGTATTCAAAAATTCGATTTGGCTGATTCGGCGAATTCGCGGAATAAATTCGATTCGAGTCGAATATATTCGCTGCGAATTTAACTTATAAAAAGGGTGTTTCTAGGCTTCAGAGAGCCTTTATATTAGTGCAGAACACTGTACCTTTAATTTAAATGCCCTTGGAGTCTGCTGGGGAAGAGAAATAATACTGTCAGTCAGTATGACATGCAGATGAGTGCCGTCGCTTAGAATCACCGCACACTTCACTCATTTGGGCAGTCACGGGGCCAAAACCAGAGTGTGGAGCCACAGTGTGGCGGTGGAGGCAGCAGCAATGGGAGGCCATACAGCACCCTATGACAAAATGGAACCCACCAGCAGTGTGAGGAGACCTGAAAGTGGCACATGGCAGAGTGTGGCGATGGAGACAGCAGCAATGGGAGGCCGTACAGGGACCCATGAGACACTCTGGACCTGGCAGCAGCATGAGGAGGCGGTACGGGGGCCCATGACAGATTACGGGCTGGCAGCAGCAATGGGAGGCCCGTAATCTGCCAGCACCTATGACAAAATGGAACCCACCAGCAGTGTGAGGAGACCTGAAAGTGGCACATGGCAGAGTGTGGCGATGGAGACAGCAGCAATGGGAGGCCGTACAGGGACCCATGAGACACTCTGGACCTGGCAGCAGCATGAGGAGTCGGTACGGGGGCCATGGCAGATTACGGGCCTGGCAGCAGCAATGGGAGGCCCATAATCTGCCAGCACCCTATGACAAAATGGAACCCACCAGCAGTGTGAGGAGACCTGAAAGTGGCAAAGAGTGGGCGATGGAGACAGCATGGCCGTAGTGTTGCCTGATGGGAGACAGCAGCAATGGCAGAGGGGAGGCCCGTACAGGGGACCCATGACAGATTACGGGGGAGGCCGTGGGACCCAGCAGGACCTGGCAGCAGCATGAGGAGGCGGTACAGGGGCCCATGACAGATTACGGGCCTGGCAGCAGCAATGGGAGGCCCGTAATCTGCCAGCACCCTATGACAAAATGGAACCCACCAGCAGTGTGAGGAGACCTGAAAGTGGCACATGGCAGAGTGTGGCGATGGAGACAGCAGCAATGGGAGGCCGTACAGGGACCCATGACACACTCTGGACCTGGCAGCAGCATGAGGAGGCGGTACAGGGGCCCATGACAGATTACGGGCCTGGCAGCAGCAATGGGAGGCCCGTAATCTGCCAGCACCCTATGACAAAATGGAACCCACCAGCAGTGTGAGGAGACCTGAAAGTGGCACATGGCAGCAGAGTGTGGGCGATGGAGACAGCAGCAATGGGAGGCCGTACAGGGGACCCATGACACACTCTGGACCTGGCAGCAGCATGAGGAGGCGGTACAGGGGCCCATGGCAGATTACGGGCCTGGCAGCAGCAATGGGAGGCCCGTAATCTGCCAGCACCCTATGACAAAATGGAACCCACCAGCAGTGTGAGGAGACCTGAAAGTGGCACATGGCAGAGTGTGGCGATGGAGACAGCAGCAATGGGAGGCCGTACAGGGACCCATGACAGACACTACGGGCCTGGCAGCAGCATGAGGAGGCGGTACAGGGGCCCATGGCAGATTACGGGCCTGGCAGCAGCAATGGGAGGCCCGTAATCTGCCAGCACCCTATGACAAAATGGAACCCACCAGCAGTGTGAGGAGACCTGAAAGTGGCACATGGCAGAGTGTGGCGATGGAGACAGCAGCAATGGGAGGCCGTACAGGGACCCATGACAGACTCTGGACCTGGCAGCAGCATGAGGAGGGCGGTACGGGGGCCCATGGCAGATTACGGGCCTGGCAGCAGCAATGGGAGGCCCGTAATCTGCCAGCACCCTATGACAAAATGGAACCCACCAGCAGTGTGAGGAGACCTGAAAGTGGCACATGGCAGAGTGTGGCGATGGAGACAGCAGCAATGGGAGGCTGTACAGGGGCCCATGAGACAGATTACGGGCCTGGCAGCAGCATGAGGAGGCGGTACGGGGGCCCATGGCAGATTACGGGCCTGGCAGCAGCAATGGGAGGCCCGTAATCTGCCAGCACCCTATGACAAAATGGAACCCACAGAGTGTGGCGATGGAGACAGTGTGAGGAGACCTGAAAGTGGCACATGGCAGAGTGTGGCAATGGAGACAGCAGCAATGGAGGCCCGTAGTACAGGGACCCATGAGACACTCTGGACCTGGCAGCAGCATGAGGAGGAGGTACAGGGGGCCCATGACAGATTACGGGCCCTATGGCAGCAGCATGAGGAGTCGGGGCCATGGCAGATTGTGGGCCCAGCAGCAATGACAGATTACGGGCCTGGCAGCAGCAATGGGAGGCCCGTAATCTGCCAGCACCCTATGACAAAATGGAACCCACCGGCAGTGTGAGGAGACCTGAAAGTGGCACATGGCAGACTGTGGCGATGGAGACAGCAGCAATGGGAGGCCGTACAGGGACCCATGAGACACTCTGGACCTGGCAGCAGCATGAGGAGGCGGTACAGGGGCCCATGACAGATTACGGGCCTGGCAGCAGCATGAGGAGTCGGTACGGGGGCCCATGACAGATTACGGGCCTGGCAGCAGCAATGGGAGGCCCATAATCTGCCAGCACCCTATGACAAAATGGAACCCACCAGCAGTGTGAGGAGACCTGAAAGTGGCACATGGCAGAGTGTGGCGATGGAGACAGCAGCAATGGGAGGCCGTACAGGGACCCATGAGACACTCTGGACCTGGCAGCAGCATGAGGAGGCGGTACAGGGGCCCATGACAGATTACGGACCTGGCAGAAGCATGAGGAGGCGGTACGGGGGCCCATGGCAGATTACGGGCCTGGCAGATGACGACGAGGCTGCCAAGTGTGATCAGCCTCATCATCATCAATTAGGGTCTCCGCCTCACTACTAGCCCCCTCGGCTGCGTGTGGGTCAGGAGACAGACCTGTCTCTAGACCGGCTACCGAGCCACTCTCCTCGCCACTACTTCTTCGCCTGGCTGCTGAAGAGGCGGATGTCTCCCCCCGTTCCTGACCGCCCTCTGTTAGCTCTTCCTCACTGTACAGTGGGGCTGAGCCCACAGCATGCGATACTTCGCTTGGTGAGGGAACACCAAAGGACAGGGGCAGGTAGAGGACAACGTGATTTCAGTGGGCTTGCTCCCGGGCCATGCCAACTAACGCTTAAAGAAAGTGATAAAAACACAGTCCAGTGAAAGAAGTGCTCCGTGATTCCTAGTGCAAATGGTAGAAATTTACACTAACCAGATAGCGTAAAAATATACGCATGTGTGTATATATCCTGTGGAATCCCCTTCTCCACTCAGATCTGGTCAAAAGAATAGCCGGAAAAGGTAGGTATCCTACGCCCTCATGTGGTGAAAGAGTGGTCCAGCAGGTCAGAGCGATGCCAATCTGAGAAAGCCTCCCCCTTCACAGGAGATCCTTTAGGGCTGTGAAAATGGAAGAAGCTCCTCACAGGAGACACAGGGGAGTACTCATAGTGTAGTAGGTAAGGCTTTATTGTAAAACATCTGTGCACAATGAACAGGGTATAGGCCGGGTGTTGGCAACCCGCGGCTCCAGAGCCCCATGCGGCTCTTTTTCACCTTGGCTGCGGCTCCGGAGCACACTGCCCACCAGGTAACAGGCAATAGGGCAGCAATGGGCAAACTACGGCCCGGCGGACCTTTTAATCCAGCCCGCGGAGCTAGGCTCCCGCTAGGCTCCTCTCACAGTCCGCCCTGAAGACCGGTGTAGCATGAAAATCTGTCTCCTATGAGGATCTGTGCCCCCTCGACGTATCTGCGCATGTGCCGGAGATCGCCGATCGGCTGCTAATGCCTGAAACTGGCACATGCGCAGATACGTCGAGGGGGACAGATCCTCATAGGACACAGATTTTCATGCTACACCGGAACGGCGCGGGAACACACGGCGAGAGGAACGCGTGGAGCAAAGGTAAGTGAATTGACACAGGGGGGACTTGGGGACTTAATATGGGGATGAATTAATATGGGGGATGAATTACTATAAAGGGGATGAATTACTATGGGGGATGAATTACTATAGGGGGGATGAATTACTATATGGGGGATGAATTACTATGGGGGATGAATTACTATGGGGGATGAATTACTATATGGGGGATGAATTACTATTTGGGGGATGAATTACTATATGGGGGATGAATTACTATGGGGGATAAATTACTATATGGGGAATGAATTACTATAGGGGGGATGAATTACTATATGTAGGATGAATTACTAAGGGGGATGAATTACTATGGGGGATAAATTACTATATGGGGAATTAATTACTATATGGGGGATGAATTATTATGGGGGATGAATTACTATATGTGGGATGAATTACTATATGGGGAATGAATTACTTGGGGGATGAATTACTATGGGGGATGAATTACTATATGGGGGATGTATTTTCAGTTTTAAAAATGTGGCTCTCAAAATAAATTTCAATTTTTTGGCGAGATTTGGCTCAGTTGAAAAAAAAGGTTGCCCACCACTGACCTAAGGCTCGTGTGTTTTGGGCCCTTAAACGAGAGCGCTTTTTGCTCAGTTGAAAAAAAAGGTTGCCCTCACCACTGACCTAAGGCTATGATTGTGATTATGACGATACACTGTGGCCCTGATTAACCTTTTGCTTACTGGGCCCTTAAACCCCCTTCATGACCAGAGCGCTTTTTGCAATATATGCAGTGTCGGATTTGTTTTAAATGTTGCAATGGTTTTGCGGCTCCCAGTCTTTTTTTCCCTCTCGGAAACGGGTCCAAGTGGCTCTTTATATCTTAAAGGTTGCAGACCCCTGGTATAGGCAGATATGGATGAACACACTGACCCCTTGATATTAAAGATGGCCGCCGGGCCTCCTCGTGGCACCGGCGGCTTAGTGTCAATGGCGTCCTGGGTCCCACTGACGCGTTTCGTGCGCACGCACTTCCTCAGAGGTGGAACAACTATGTTCCACCTCTGAGGAAGTGCGTGCGCACGAAACGCGTCAGAAGGGACCCAGGACGCCGTTGACACTAAGACGCCGTTGACATTAAGCCGCCGGTGCCACGAGGAGGCCCGGCGGCTATCTTTAATATCAAGGGGTCAGTGTGTTCATCCATATCTGCCTATACCCTGTTCATTGTGCACAGATGTTTTACAATAAAGCCTTACCTACTACACTATGAGTACTCCCCTGTGTCTCCTGTGAGGAGCTTCTTCCATTTTCACAGCCCTAAAGGATCTCCTGTGAAGGGGGAGGCTTTCTCAGATTGGTATCGCTCTGACCTGCTGGACCACTCTTTCACCACATGAGGGCGTAGGATACCTACCTTTTCCGGCTATTCTTTTGACCAGATCTGAGTGGAGAAGGGGATTCCACAGGATATATACACACATGCGTATATTTTTACGCTATCTGGTTAGTGTAAATTTCTACCATTTGCACTAGGAATCACGGAGCACTTCTTTCACTGGACTGTGTTTTTATCACTTTCTTTAAGCGCTGCATTTTTATATTTATGAATCGTGGGACTTTATATGCGTTTTCCTTTATGTTCAGCTGCTGCCACTATTATTGAGCGCTTACTGTATATTTTTTACCTCATGCCAACTAACGGTTGTGTCTGACGTACCCACCGACCGTTGGCTGTAGGTGTCAGAGGTGACCTGGGAAGAGGAAGACGACCGAGCCAACCAATCGATGACGGCAGGGTTGTCGGTGGAGACACGACCGCTGGATGACACCGGGAGCACTGGCCTCTGGCTGCGACTAGTGCTGCCTCGACCCCTTCCTCTGCTGCCACGTCTGCTCGCTCCTGAAACATTGCCTCCTCTGCCACTCCTCTGCGTGTTGTCTGACATACTCTTTAATTCAACGATTCTGTGTCCCTGAGTAACAATTCTGTGTCCCTGAGTAACAATTCTGTGTCCCTGAGTAACAATTCTGTGTCTGTCCCTGAGTAACAATTCTGTGTCCCTCAGTAACAATTCTGTGTCCCTGAGTAACAATTCTGTGTCCCTGAGTAACAATTCTGTGTCCCTGAGTAATAATTCTGTATCTGTCCTTGAGTAACAATTCTGTGTCCCTAAGTAACAATTCTGTGTCCCTGAGTAACAATTCTGTGTCCCTAAGTAACAATTCTGTGTCCCTGAGTATCAATTCTGTGTCCTTGAGTAACAATTCGGTGTCCCTCAGTAACAATTCTGTGTCCCTCAGTAACAATTCTGTGTCTGTCCCTGAGTAACAATTCTGTGTCCCTGAGTAACAATTCTGTGTCCCTGAGTAACAATTCTGTGTCCCTCAGTAACAATTCTGTGTCCCTCAGTAACAATTCTGTGTTTGTCCCTGAGTAACAATTCTGTGTCTCTGAGTAACAATTTTGTGTCCCTGAGTAACAATTCTGTGTCCCTCAGTAACAATTTTGTGTCCCTCAGTAACAATTCTGTGTCCCTCGGTAAAAATTCTGTGTCTGTCCCTGAGTAACAATTCTGTGTCCCTGAGTAACAATTCTGTGTCCCTCAGTAACAATTCTGTGTCCCTCAGTAACAATTCTGTGTCCCTCAGTAACAATTCTGTGTCCCTGAGTAACTTTTCTGTGTCCCTGAGTAACAATTCTGTGTCCCTCAGTAACAATTCTGTGTCCCTCAGTAACAATTCTGTGTCCCTCAGTAACATTTCTGTGTCTGTCCCTGAGTAACAATTCTGTGTCCCTGAGTAACAATTCTGTGTCCCTGAGTAACAATTCTGTGTCCCTCAGTAACAATTCTGTGTCCCTCAGTAACAATTCTGTGTCCCTCAGTAAACAATTCTGTGTCTGTCCCTGAGTAACAATTCTGTGTCCCTCAGTAACAATTCTGTGTCCCTCAGTAACAATTCTGTGTCTGTCCCTGAGTAACAATTCTGTGTCCCTGAGTAACAATTCTGTGTCCCTCAGTAACAATTCTGTGTCCCTCAGTAACAATTCTGTGTCTGTCCCTGAGTGACAATTCTGTGTCCCTGAGTAACAATTCTGTGTCCCTGAGTAACAATTCTGTGTCCCTGAGTAACAATTCTGTGTCCCTCAGTAACAATTCTGTGTCCCTGAGTAACAATTCTGTGTCCCTCAGTAACAATTCTGTGTCTGTCCCTGAGTAACAATTCTGTGTCCCTGAGTAACAATTCTGTGTCCCTGAGTAACAATTCTGTGTCCCTCAGTAACAATTCTGTGTCTGTCCCTGAGTAACAATTCTGTGTCCCTGAGTAACAGTTCTGTGTCCCTGAGTAACAATTCTGTGTCTGTCCCTGAGTAAACAATTCTGTGTCCCTCAGTAACAATTCTGTGTCCCTCAGTAACAATTCTGTGTCTGTCCCTGAGTAACAATTCTGTGTCCCTCAGTAACAATTCTGTGTCCCTCAGTAACAATTCTGTGTCTGTCCCTGAGTAACAATTCTGTGTCTGTCCCTGAGTAACAATTCTGTGTCCCTGAGTAACAATTCTGTGTCCCTGAGTAACAATTCTGTGTCCCTCAGTAACAATTCTGTGTCTGTCCCTGAGTGACAATTCTGTGTCCCTGAGTAACAATTCTGTGTCCCTGAGTAACAATTCTGTGTCCCTGAGTAACAATTCTGTGTCCCTCAGTAACAATTCTGTGTCCCTGAGTAACAATTCTGTGTCCCTCAGTAACAATTCTGTGTCTGTCCCTGAGTAACAATTCTGTGTCCCTGAGTAACAATTCTGTGTCCCTGAGTAACAATTCTGTGTCCCTCAGTAACAAT